TCTGACTATGATTTCAGGTGCAGGTTTTTAGGAGTTCTCTTGGAATTCTTTTGTGAATTGGGTTTTGGTTAAGACCTATCTTTATCCCCCTTCCCCTAAGAGCTTGCTGCCTCTTTCTGATGATTAGAGGTGTTGATGGTGGCTCAATGTATGCAAGATTTTATTCAGCTCTTGAATAATGTGATAATGAGAATGTATGTGTGTGTGTTATTCAGATATGCACCATGACAGTGCTATCTACAATTACAAAAACCTAACCATGCTTAGGACTACAGCTTCACAAGGAACCTATCATATTAACTAGTGATTCAGTCTCCTCTACATAGTTTTCTTTACACTAAAAAGGGAACAAAAGAATACAATTCATCTTGATTTTCTGCACAGGATTGCTTTTGACTTCAAAAATTCCTCTCTTTCCAAATTATCATATATACCAGCTAGGACAAGTACCTACCACTTCTTTTGTCTCACTGCACCGCCATTGTTGTTCCAACACTTCAATAATTCACGGCTTGTTTCTGGCATAGAACATACCATCTTAGTCCTGCCATGTTCAGAAAAGGTTGCCACAATTCTCCAGTAATAGATGGCCATTGTTTTCTCCAACTGCACCACACATACAACATCTAGAGCATAGATTAAATCCCCTTCTTCTTAAGTTTTCTTCAGCGAGTCATGCTTCTCTTGATACAAGCCAAGAAAAACATAAGACTTTGTAAGGGGCCTTAGTCTTCCCGATGTACTTCCATGGCCACTGGTCAAATTGTGCATTTTGTCTTATCAGGTATTTCTATGAAGATTTGACGATGTAGACTCCATCACTTCCAGATGTCTAGCACAACCTATCCTTAGATTCTTCGAAGCCCTGTAAAGATCTCAAGGTCTTTAACATGTCCACAAAAATTTCCAATTATCTGTCATGTAATAATCTTCTAGAAGTGATATTCCACCCATGTACTCCTTTAGCTGATTTAAGGTTAATATCTGGTAAAGTTTTGTTTCTTCTCGTTACTCTATAAACATCCCTGCTTGGTCATAATGGGGAGGGAAGGATATTGGAGAACTTTTATTCTGTCAGTTGTCTTACCTAATAAGGTGGATTTCAATTTTCTCCCAGGTGCATGTTTCTGCTCCATGGTTTGTAGCTGTTGGAAGCTTGGGGGTTTGGAGGAGTCCATGCTGATTTTTTGAGTTCTTTTTACCAAAATTATCTATTCATTTTCCTGATGACCAGAGATGGTTGATAATTTTTTTGGTACTTATTGAATTGAATGGGTCTGTATTTGTTGGAGCAATTTTATTCTTAAGTTTTCTAATTTTGCTCTATAGTGGTATGGAAAATAAGCAGATCTGTCAGTTGCAGAAAAGAATGTCTAGAAGAATCTTGTCGTTCTATGCTTGGAAGTCCTTGGGTTTGCAGATACATTTTGAAGCTTGACGTTGCTGTAAATTCCCACTTCTGTTGGTTTCATGAAGGCATCCAAGGACTTTCGGTTTAGGTTATGCCAATTTCTTTCTGGTTCTACCAGAGGTAGCATATGGTAAGGGTATTAGACGATGCAATTTTTACTTTTGGATGTCAATGCTCTTTCGTTATGTTGTAACAAAGTAAACCTCAACCTCATCTCCAGTATCAGCAGCAGATCATCTTTTTTGTTGCTTCTCCTCTGGAGACTATTAGTACAAGTTTTTGTGTCTTTCCTTGTAGATGTTGCTTTCTGTATTCTATGTTGTTAGGCAATTGGCTAATTCAAAATCATGTAGAGGGTCTCTTTTCTATGTTTTTTGGCTTTCTTTGTGCATAATTTCCATTAGCTTTAAATGTTGTACAGGTGTTTTGAGTGGTGGAATTTTTGTGTTATCTACAGTGAGTAGATTTTTGGTTGCACAGTGAACCCACAAAAAATAAGAAGGGATGAGAACAAGGAGGTTCTAAGAAACTGTCTGTTATAGTAATACAGTAGTTTATTCTACAGTTCGGCTCATGTTTTTTAAGAATTTAATTTATTTGTTGATCTGGATCTCTTTCTTGTAAAACAACACTACAAATTTGAGTGTATTGTTTGTGAAGTTGAGAAGGTATTAGCATCTTGTAGTAGCTTGGAAGCTTTAGGTTAAGTTTGTTTAGGGTACTTTTCTCTCCTTATGCTGCAATTGTCTAAATTTGCCAGTCAAGAATTATCATCTTAGAGATCTTGGTTTTGAACCACTGTTTGTCTGGCTTTTGTTCCTTTTTCCTCTGAAGTGTCTTGTAGCTATTTTGAGTGTTTTTTTGACGAATATACATAAATTTAGTTCCATATAAGCTGGTTTTTCTCCCTGGAAGTGATGGGAAGTTGGAAGATAATAAGATCGGTTGTTCTGGAGTATGTGAAGAAGTTCCTGGCATTGACGCTCGAAATTTGTTTTGATGTTGTTCTCGTCATATTTTAATGTTTCGATGTATTCAAATATCTATTTCGGATTATTGTTATTGCTTCTTGTTATTTTGTGGGTGTGTGTTCGACTACATTTTAGTGTTCAAGTCTCGTACTAGCTAATGTGCTTTCTCCTACGAGATAGTAATTTGATCACCTTGCAGTTTATGGAGAATGAGTGTTCTATTAGGCAGCGATGTCACTAGTTGAGTTTTAGCTATTGAGTAAAAACTAAATCTTCTCAAAATTATTGTCTCCTCTCACATATATGAAGTGCAGTTACTGAACATAGGTGGTATACAAGGTAATATTATAACAAGCATAGGTTGTGAAGAAGCTTTCTATTTTGGGTTGTTATGATGAGTTGGATATCTCTTTCTCTGGCTTATCTCAAATTATTGTCTCCTCTCACATGTATGAAATGCAGTTACTGAATATAGGTGGTGTTTAAAAAGTATAGGCGTGAAACTATTTTTATTTTGGATTGTATGATGAGTTGGATATCTTTTTTCTTGGCTTATCTCACATGCTTATTTTGGTCTCTTGCAGTTTATGGATGATGAGTGTTCTGTTAGGCAGCAATGTCGCTAGTTGAGTTTTAGCTATTGAGTAGAAACTAAATCTTCTCAAAATTATTGTCTCCTCTCACATGTACGAAGTGCAGTTACTGAACATAGGTGGTCTACAAGTTAATATTATAACAAGTATAGGTTGTGAAGAAGATTTCTATTTTGGGTTGTTATGATGAGTTGGATATCTCTTTCTTTGGCTTATCTCAAATTATTGCCTCCTCTCACATGTACAAAATGCAGTAACTGAATATAGGTGGTGTTTAAAAAGTATGTGCGTTAAGCTATTTTTATTTTGGATTGTATGATGAGTTGGATATCTTTTTCCTTGGCTTTTCTCACATGCTTATTTGGTCTCTTGCAGTTTATGGAGGATGAGTGTTCTGTTAGGCAGCGATGTCGCTAGTTGAGTTTTAGCTATTGAGTAAAAACTAAATCTTCTCAAAATTATTGTCTCCTCTCACATGTACGAAGTACAGTTACTGAACATAGGTGGTCTACAAGGTAATATTATAACAAGTATAGGTTGTGAAGAAGATTTTTATTTTGGGTTGTTATGATGAGTTGGATATCTCTTTCTTTGGCTTATCTCAAATTATTGTCTCCTCTCACATGTACGAAATGCAGATACTGAATATAGGTGGTGTTTAAAAATTATAGGAGTGAAGCAGTTTTTATTTTGGATTGTATGATGAGTTGGGTATCTTTTTTCTTGGCTTATCTCACATGCTTGTTTGGTCTCTTTTGATTTGGGATTGGTATATGTGGATTATTAATCTTGGATGTGATAAGCTTGAGTTTAGGGAAAAATAGTTGAGTCTCAAATCTTCACTAATGGAAGTTTCACTCTATGAAGAATCTTGAAACTTAATGTTGTGGTCTCATTTGTAGATGTGATAGTAGGGAAGAACCAAGGTTCCATGCTTGTAGTGATGGAGTTGGTGTACTCCTAAACTGGACAATCTGCTTTCTGGATATTATGATATGAATTCTGGATTTTGACGAATGCGATTTCTTCACGGTATGAGAAAAGATAGAATTTATATTCACGTAGTCTCAAACGCTCTTCCCATTGCACAAAGCCTTACACAATCTCATAAAAAAACTAGGGACCATTTGGAGCTTTGCATCTCTGAAGTAGTAGTATCTTGTCATTGGAATCATGTTTTTCACTAGACAGGGCCCAAAAAGTTGTCTATCACGTGACATCATATATGTTATAATAACATTATGTTTGTCGAAGCATAACCATCTCAAAAGCAAGCTGTGGGAATTCTCCAATATTCTCTACACATCCATCCAACAAAAAAGAAATGGCAGCAAAGAACATATGTAGCTGGAAGACCAAAAGTAGAGCAGTACTTCATGAAGATATAGATCCACAAGCTGAGAACTTATGAAGCGACTATAACCATAATAAGGAGAGAACTCTTCAGTTGATCATTGAAGATCAAAGTCCCTGGAATAAAATTTTCATGGCACCAGAACACAATACGCACTTGTAAGAAAATACTATCTTAGTCAAAAAGCCATCCATACAAAAATAGTTTTGATAGAGAAAAGGGACGTATAAGGAAAGAAAACTGAATCGAAAACCCCAATACTCATAAAAGACTCACTAAAGAAACCTCAACAAGAACGGATACATGGTTGCTTCATGAAAAGAATGATCCACTGCCCTGGGTTCAATGGCTGCAAGAATTAAAAGAAAGGAACAATAAAGTTCAAATCTCACGAACCCCAAAACCACCCATTAATAACTAAATAATCCATGGACAAGACAAGAAACGCCCTTATGTCAAAGCCTGAAAATTCAAATTGCAGTGCAAGCACCAAAGACAAAAAGGTGACAGAGAATCACATGTTGATTACAACCAAGTTTTGAAACTTCCAAATCTGAGTGTCCATTACAGTACCGCAACCATATGGCTATACATCTATCCAACCAAAACAAACTATCATGACAATGAAAAAATATTGGAAGACGAGATAAAAAGTAGCTAGAAGAACAAAGTAAAGATGTAATCTACATCATTATTAAAAGGTCTAGCATTGGCCGAGTACTTCTTCAGGTGTCCACACAAAAGACCTCATTATCACCATGCACCTCACAACTTGGATCATCGAAGAGCATATGCTTCTTAAATAAGAACTTTATGGCAGCAGAGAAAATACAACACTGTGTAAAAAATAATATCCTAATTGATAAACTCCCATACAATAGTAATTTTGACAAAGATAAGAGGAGCCACAAGGGACGAAAATTTAACTAAAAATTATCGATACCCATATAAGGTTGAAATAGAAAGGACTCAACTAATGTGGACAAACAAGATCGCTCCATGAAAAGAAGAATCCACTGCTCTGTAATGCCAAATAGCTGCAAACAAAGGAATGAAGGAAAGAATTAATTACTTGCAAAGATGACGAAACCCACTAGAAAATGCAAGACAATGATTGAAAAAAAACCCTCGTAGAGCCTGATAGTATCCACATTGTGGTGCAACCACAAAACTGGCAAAGAATCAAGATTGAGAAACCCCATTATATCTCTCCTACTAATATTCAGATTGTAGTGCCAGCAAAGAAATGGCAGGGAAACATCTTGCACAAGAACGGACACTGGCATCAACCTACAAAATTTTCCAAATCTAACCCTCGAGTGTCATCATTCCAACAAACAAAATCAAGATCGGGTGATACAAATAACAGAAGAAGAGAACGGACCCACTTAATGGGGCTGTAAAAAGATATAGGATTGAGTTTTGATTACTTATCAGGTGTCAATAAGTCCACATACCCATCAACCAACCAGGGCATCTCGGAATCTCATCAATTGGATCACCGAAGAACACAAGCATTCAATTAACAAACTAAAAGCAGCAGCAGAATACAACACACACTAGTGCAAGAAAAACTAATTTAACTAAGGATTTTCATATAACATCAATTTTTGACAAAGATAGGAAGCCACTACAATTGGGGAAGACAATTAAAATATGAATGACAGAACTCATAAAACATGAACTAGAAGAACCTCAACACAAATGTCCAAACAAAATCCCTCCACGAAAAGGATAATTAACTGCTCAGCTAGACCCGCAAAGAAATGAGGTTGCAAGGACAGAAAGAAGAGAAAAATAAAGTGCAAAGCTAATAAAACCCTTATAACCTAATAAATCATTGGAGGTGCAAGAGATATTGAAAAAACTCATTAGTCGAAGTCGTGCAATATCTCTCTTGGAATGCAAGCACCAAAAAGACAAAGAAAAAGGTGCACAGGAATGCATACCGGATACAAGCATTCGAATTTACCAAAACTAATCCTCTATTAATATCACCATGTGGTCTACACATATATTCACCAACAAACAAGATCAAGCAAGTGTAATAACCAAGAGAAAACAGAAGAAGAGAGAAAACAAGTAGTTAGCACACAAAAGCCAAAGGATCACTTTACGGCACTATCAGAGATCCAAAATTGACTTCGATTACTTATACAGTGCCCATAACACCACAAGATATAACAGAATTATCAAAGAACATTCGCAACTGAACCATCAACTAATACAGGCAGCGGGAACGCTTTATGCACACAAATGAAGAGAAATAGTTGAGAACTTCCATAAGCTGTTATGACAAAACTTCGAGAGACTACCTAAAGTCAAAAACCTGGGTACTCCTGCATATTTCCCAAGAGGAACACCAAAACAAGACACCTACTCCTGTAGAATAACTTGCACCTAGATGCACATCCATGTATTGTTGATAGCTAAGAATAACATTCAGTGATGACCAAACAAAATAATTGAGCAAGGAGAAACATGATAGGCATCAATATTAGCATTAAGGATTGAAGTCTAGATATCAAATCCAAACTGACAGCTCCTCTCTATGGTTATGACAAGAGATGACAATGGGACTCGTTCATCTCAAGATCCAAATTCCCACTTCTACTCATATTTTGATTCAACAAAAGGAAATTGCTAGGTGTTAGAGTAGTAAATAGGGTGATAAGATAATGTACACAACTCATGATTTCTCACAACAAAAACCTCAGAATATTGCAAAACCAGGAAGCAATACTCGATTTCGCAAAACTGCATTCAGAACGGACCTTACCAACTTCCAGTTTCTAAAATAAAAAAAGTGGAAGTCAATCAAAGGTACATCAAGAAATTGGGAACAAAATAAATAAATGCATAGGAAAGATACCCATAATTGTTCTCCCATCATTATTAGCCATACATGATCAACCAAAAAACAATAGCGAATCAAAAGATCCAAAATTGAGTAGTTGTTAAGTGTCCACAAGATCATAACCATCAACAAATAAGCATCTCATCAGCTTGGATAATTGAAAAAATAAGCATCTAAACGGAATTCCAAAAATGACGATAGAATATCACACACACTAATTGAAAAAAATAGTTGCAAATCTCAGTACTCATACAAGCCTAAACCATGGAAACCTCGACATAAATTGGACAAACAAAGCCTCTCCATCAAAAGAATATTTTACTGCTCTTTAATACTCAATGGCTGCAAGAACAAAAAAAAAGGGTACAATCAAGTTCAAAACTGACAGAACCCTTACCACCTAAGAAATCAGTAAGAGATGTCCTATATACAATATTAAAGACCCCTTTTTTGTTGAAGCCATGACCAATATATCCAGATTACATAGCAAGAACCAAAAAGACCAAGAGGGTACAGAGATACTATACTGGACATTAACCATTGAAATCTCCAAATGTTTAACTTCTAATTACCGCCACGATATAGTTTGACCTGTCGTCACATACGAAATAACGGACAATAAAATTTAGGAATCCTTTTTTGACCGCATCCATTGCAGGAAAGGAATAATGTGTAACTTTGAATTGTAAATTATGTCCTATATAGTCTACATGGAAGGAAACAACATATGTAGTTAGACGACCAGAAGTGGAGCAGGACTTAATGACGTTGTCAAAAAGTAATATCCAATATTGACCGAGTACTTACTGGCAAACTTCATTGCAGCAGAACACAACACACACCGGTGAAAAATATTATCTTAGTTAAGAAACTGTCAGTCTTTCATACATCAATAATTTTGACAGAGGAAGAGGATCCATACGGTAAGAAAAGTGGAATCGAATATCATAGTACTCACAAAAGACTTAACTAAAGAAACCTCAACACAAATGGACAACACAACCGCTTCATGAAAAGAACAATTCACTTCCTTGTAGGCAATGGCTGCAAGAACAGAAAGAAGGGAACAGTTAAGTGCAAATCTGACAAACCCCAAACCACCCAAATGATGAATAGATATGCCATAGACGAGACTGAAAATCCCCTTTTGTCAAAGCCCAGACGATATCAAGATTGTAGTGCAAGAACCAAAAAGTCCAAAAGGTGGCTGAGGATCGCATGTTGGTTAACCAAGCTTTAAAATTTCCAAACTTGAACATCCATAACAGTATCACCATACGGTCTACACATCCATCAAACAAAAAAAAACTAGTGTGATAACAGGAAAAAACGGAAGAAGAGAAAACAAGTAAGTAGCTAAGAACAAAATAAACAAAGTATTTTACGCCGCGATCGAAAGATTTACAATTGGTTGAGTACTTATCAGTTGTATATAGCCATAACAGACTTCATCTCACTATAAGAGACATCATCAATTGGATCATCCAAGACATATACATCTGGACTTAGAACTTCATGGCAGTAGAATACAATACACAGGTGAAAAACCATTTTCTCTTTCTGATTACCGATAGAGTCTTTTTAACAATATTTCACTTGAGTTGCGCAAGACTCCTATCATATATATGAATCACGCTTTGATGTCCTAATTGAGAAACTTCCACATGAATAGTTTTAAAAAGACAAAACGGTCATTAGGGAAAAAGACTAAATTGAAAATTATCATACTCATAAAAGAGTGAACAAAAAAAAACCTCAACAACGCCATATGGACAAATAAGGGTACTCCATCAGAAAAAATCAACTGCTTTGTGAGACCAATGGTTGCGTGCAAAGGAGTGAAGCGAAGAGTTACAAAACCCATTTATGAGGCTTTAAAGAGATCCAAATTGAGATCTTGTCAGGTGTCCATAAGGCCATGACCATCAACCATCTAGAGTCTCACAATTGCACAATTGAAGGGAAGGAGCATCTGGACAGAAAACAAAAATGACAGTAGAATATGACACACTAGTGAAAAATAAAAACTATTTTAGATAAAAATCCAAGTACTCATAAAAGCCTAAACTAAGGCAACCTCAATATATATGGACAGACTAAGCCGCTCCATGAAAAAAATAATTCACTGCTCTATAAGACCCAATGGATGCACGCACAAAAAAAAGGTACAACAAAAACATGAAACCCACACCACCTAAGAAATCACTAGAGATGAGATTTAGACAAGAAATAAAACCCTTCTTTGTTGAAGCCCTAAGCAATACATCCAAATTGTAGTGCAAGAACCAAAAAGACCAAGAGCGTACATCATCTCAACCATTGAAATCAACCTCTACTATACATCATCTCAACCATAGAAATCAACCTCTAATATTTTCACCATATAGTCTACACATCCATCCAACAAAAAAATGGCAGTAAAAAATATATGTAGCAAGAGGACCAGAAGTAGAGCAACACTTTATGGATAGATAAATCCACATACCAAGTACCTATCAAGCGACAATAACCATAATGGAGGTCATCAGTTGGATCATTGAAGAACAAAGTGTCTGATTAAAATCTTCATTGCAACAAAACATAATACACACTTGTAACAAAATATTATCTTAGTCCAGAAAAACATCCATATAACAATAGTTTCGACAGAGAAAACGGATCCATAAGGAAAGAAAATTGAATCAAAAATCTTAATATTCATAAAAGACTCTACTAAAGAAACCTCAACACAAACAGATAAAACACGACCGCTTCATAAAAAGAACAATACTGCTTTGTGGTTCAACGGCTGCAGGAATTGAAAGAAAGGAACAGTTAAGTGTAAATATGACAAACCCCAAAACCACCCATGTAATCACTAAATATGCCACAGACAAGACAAAAAAAGCCCTTGTGTCAAAGCCTGGAAATCCAAATTTGCAATGCAAGCACCATTGTCCAAAAGGTGACAGAGGATCACATGTTGGTGATAACTGACCTTTGAAATCTCCAAATCTGAATGTCCATAACAGTATCACCATATGGCTACACATCTATCCAACCAAAAAAAAAACTAGCGTGATAATGAAAAAAATGGAAGCACAGAAGATAAGGAGATAGAAGATCAAAAGTAAACATAAGTACTTCAAGTAATTGTCTCTATCAGAAGATCTAGAATTGGCGGAGTACTTATTTAGGTTT